CTAGCTCTAAGTGAAACTCGGGGCCCGTGTGAATCTCGCCGAGAGTGGGGGTACCGATTTGGAGACAACGTTGTTGGTATTATAAAAGTCTCAAAGGTTGTAAGACGAAAGTTTAGGATTTGTGATAAGGAGTAGTGATATGGATTGGAGATAAGGCTTGGCGCTTTGGCGAGGAATGTTTAAAATTTTTAACGTCTAGCAATCCATCACGACACATTGTAAAGGATACAATCTCCAGGATCTCAAGGCGTTTGTCAGCTGCTTTTAGTTGTTGAAATTGTTAAAAAGTGTAGAGTCGATATGTGCATTTGATGTCTAGCTATCAGTCATAAAATCACATCGGTAAGCAATATGCGAAGAGTATATTATCAGGTATGCACTCCACCTGCGGTGGATTGCGGACCCTGTTAGTTGCGCAGGTTAAGTGAATAATCAAAAACTATAGATTCTAGTTGGCCTATGAGACTCGCTGACTTTGGGGGGATACCTACTAATTTTGGAGTAAGAGTCTTTTCAAGTATTAAATGAGCGACAATCGTAAGATGACAGTTAGGGACTTGTGATTGATAAGAATAGTGATATGGATTGGAGATAAAGATTGGCGTTTTGGCGTAAATTTTTATAAAAGTTTAAGCGGTCTAGCAATTTCCTCACGCACGTTGTTTAAATGGATTACGATCTCTTAGGATCTCTGGCGGTTGTCATCTGCTTTTGGTTGTGAAATTGTTAAAAGTGTAGAGTCGATATGTGTATTTGATTGTCTAGCTATCAGTCATCAAATCACATAGGTAAGCATATGCGAAGCGTATATTATCAGGTATGCACTCCACCTGCGGTGGATTGCGGACCCCGTTAGTTGAGCAGATAAGTGAATAATCAAAAATATAGATTCTAGTTGGCCCATGAGACTCGTTGAATTTGGGGGTACCAATTTTGGAGTAAGAGTCGTTTAAATTATAAAAGTAGCGCCAGTCGTAAGATGAAAGTTTAGGATTTGTGATAAGAATTACTGATATGGATTGGAGATAAAGCTTGGCGTTTTGGCGTAAATTTTTAAAAGTTTAAGCGTCTAGCAATCCGTCACGAACGTTGTAAATGGATACGATCTCTAGGATCTCTAGGCGTTTGTCAGCTGCTTTTCGTTGTTGAAATTGTTAAAAAGTGTAGAGTCGATATGTGTATTTGATTGTCTAGCTATCAGTCATAAAATCACATCGGTAAGAAATATGCGAAGCGTATATTATCAGGTATGCACTCCACCTGCGGTGGATTGCGGACCCCGTTAGTTGAGCAGATAATAGTGAATAATCAAAAATATAGATTCTAGTTGGCTTATGAGACTCGCTGAATTAGGGGGTACCGATTTTGGAGTAAGAGTCGTTTCAATTATAAAAGTAGCGACAGTCGTAAGATGAAAGTTTAGGATTTGTGATAAGAGTTAGTGATATGGATTGGAGATAAAGCTTGGCGCATTGGCGGGAATGTTTAAAAGGTTGAGTGTCTAGCTATCAGTCATCAACGGTGTAAGTACGCATATTTTACACTTCTTTTTTTGTGGTTTTTGGGTCTGTCCAAACGTTTGAAGTCAAAAAACCATTTACCTAATCGATTGTCTAGACTATCAGCGCACTTTGTTCAACGTGTAATTATGATCCATATTGCACCAGCCCTTTTTGTTAGTAAAAAAGTGTGCGTCGATAATTCGATTATTAAGTCGATATTTATAAAGTTCATTAATTTACAAAAAATAGAAAATCCCAAAGTACCTATATATTTATATAAATGTGTGTTTATTGTATGATAAATGATAAAAACATATTATAAACACAATTAGGTGTCATAATAAATTACACTGTCTTAATGTACCTAATTAATTCCAAGAAAATAAATATACGATCATTGTTATGATCAGATCAAGGCTATTTAGTGCATGTTATTAACAAAATTAATCATAGGGATGTCAATATTAAAATCCATTTGAATATGGTACATTGCCATTTTTGTTGTTTTGTTAAAAAATATAATATGTTTAGTATACATACCTATCTATTACATCGTTTTTAATAAAAGTATAATTTAACTTAACCTAACTTGCAGTATGTCATTGATACTATTAATATTATTTATTTATTTTAACAAATTGTGTGTGTATTTGAACAGTTTGATTTAGTATGGTATGTATAATATATTGAATCAAAAACAGTAGATAAACAATATTTTAAACAGAAAGTCGGATGTTAGTTACATACAGCGCCGGATCATAGCTTTTTAACACCCGGGGAAAATTAAAAAAATACGCCCATCCAGGGAGATGACCAGAATTAGTATTTTTTTTTACGAAAAATCAAGCACACTCACACAGTATTGCGAGGAACTGAGGACCAACATTTACAAAACCTTTCCAAATGCACTGCAGGACCAATCATTTACATAGGCGCACATAGGGGGGTGCTTGGGTTTGCTTAGCACCCCCAAGCTTCAAACCAGCACCCTCAATTTATTTCGGTATTTCACCAATCATTTATAAACTATCGTGGTTTATTGGTTCGCAATTTTTCTTTTTATTACAAATATTGACAACTGTTTACGAATTCACGATTAAAACAGTATTGTGTGAATGCATGGTTCAGTGTTTCAGTTTTTGTCAAAACATTAAACAGTATGTAGCAATCATATAATTATATCATATCATTATAGAAAATTATATTATCTTACTGGTTATTTATATTTCCATTTTCTATGCATGATAAAATTTTCTAAATATTTTGAGTTATTTTGAGGTTTTTATGGACATTTTTAGTTTCCATTTTGTTTAGTTTTTTTTTCTATAAGTATCAATAAAATTTTATTTGTTGGTATAAAAGCTTAAAAATGTAATAGAAGGCTCCTAATATATTGTTTTCAAATTTTATGAAATATAAAAACAAAGTTACACAGTAAATTTTCTCATATTTATAGTGTGAACATTTAGTTTCTTACTTTCTTAGCTTAGAGTACAGCCTTAAAGTTTTT